TTGCCCATGATTCCTCAAGATGGTATCATCAGGTATTCACTTTACTGGAAAGTGCCTCCTTTCCCCTATCTACATGGAGCCTGTCCAAAAACTCGGGACAAGTGTCAGCCAGTGCTATAGCGAAAGAAGCTCAGGAAATACCAGATGCTAATGTCACCTCTGTGCACCCATTCATTCATTCAATCCTCCACATGTTCAACAAGGCTACCTGACCCAGGGAGCTCACAAGCCCGAGAGAAAGAGGCCATGAAACCACAAGGTCAAAAGCACTGGGAAACTGTAACGCTAACATCACCTCGCAGGTGTCAGTCATTGGAGAGGGGCAGCCCTTTACACTTTAAAAAAAGAAAATCTTCCTAGCAAATGAGAACTGTCTGACCACAGACAGCTGCAGGCCTGGTGAGGAGGGAGCTCGCTGGAGGGGGGTTTCTGGCAGAGATCAGAGGCCCTTTTGTCAAGATGTGAGAAGGGGATTCCTGCTCTGTGCAGGGGTCAGGTGAGGCTGGGCTTCCCCTGGATAGCTGGGGGACCCTAAGAAGTCCCACCATGCTGGGTTCCAGCCCCCGCAACACCATGACAACTGGTTACTTTATCTGTCTGTACCTCAGTTTCCTCATCTACAAAATGGGGGTAATATCAATGAGGATTAAATAAGTTCATATTTATAAAGCTTTGTTGTACATGGTGTGGCACAAATTGAGCTCTGTCACTAAATAATAAATAAGGTGGTGAGAGTTCACTTTGTAAGATTCTAAATCCAAGATCAGAGCATGCAAAAAATCCAAGTGTCAAAGGTTCTCAGCCGGAAACTGCTCAGATTCTGAGATTGGGAGAGTCTAGGAGTCTTAGATTCTGTGATTGAATCATCTCATTATTTCCTAACAACAACCCAGAGCCTCCCAGGGGAAGGAAAAGACAGACCTCATTGTAACTTCATCTCCCAGGCCGCTGGGGCTGCTGCCACACCTGGACTCCGCAGCCTTGCCCCACCTCAGCCACACCATGCTAGAAGCTTGCAGGGAGCCTGAGTGTGTTCTAGTGGTAGAGAGCAAGTGCAAATAAAGAGAGAGGGAAAGAGGGAGAGAGGGAGGGAGGGAGGCAGGGAGAGAGAAAGAAAGAAAGCGGGGAGAGGTTTCAGATCTGAAAGCTGCAAAAGAAAATAAAAAGAGGCTCATGTGACAAAGAGTGACAGTGGGAAGCTATTTTAGAGCAAATGGTCAGGAAAGCCCCTTTGAGGAGGTGACATTCAGTTGGTGCCAGTCATGCAAAAGGGAAAAGCATTCCTGGCAAGGGGATGTGCAAAGGCCCCACCAACAGGCTTTGTAAATTTGAGGTACAGACAGAAGGCAGGGTGGCTAGGGGTGGTGAGACAGGGGAGCAGGGCAGAGGAGCCCAGGCTGAGACGCAGGCAAGGCCTGGACCATGAAGTGCTTTGTTGGTCCAGAAAAAACTGTTTTTGTTTTTTTTTTCTTTTCCCCCCTTCTAAATGTCCAGGAAATCGCAGAAGAGTTTCAAAAGGGAACGACAAGGCAGAGCAGGGCCTTCAGGTTCTCCAGATCATTTGGCTCATTCTGAAACCATCATCTTAGTTCACAGAGGAAAGGCAGGGCCTTGATGGTCACTGTCACTGAGCTCCTAGGACATGTCTGGCCATCGATGGGAGACACTGCAGATGCTATGTTGCTATCACTGCCACCAACTCAGGAGAAACTCACAGACAGTACCATTTTAGAGATGAAGAAACCAAGGCCAGAGAAGGAAACAATGTGCTCAAAGCCCCACAAGCCATGTGACACAAATGGTTCTTAATCCAGAACCCAGTTCCACCACTGTGACCATCTATGGAACTCCTCTGGTGTTTTCCAGGCTCCTGCTCTCCGAGAGGCTTTCCCTGGGGACCCATGTAGGCACCCCGGGAATGCTGCCCTGGGTGGTACCTCACACACCTGCAGCCTCACCTCTTCTTCCCTGTTGGCTTTAGAACCCTGGAGGACCAAACTTGTACCTCCACCTGTCCAACCAGGCTGGGTGAGCCAGGGATTGGATGGATGGACAGATGGTTAGATGGAAGGACCACTGAGTTGACTAACCAAAAAACTAATGAATGGACATTGAAAAGGTGAACGAACACTCTAATAACGAATGAATGAATAAACTAACCAATGGCAGAAAAACGGATGAATGGAGAGAGGTAGGGCAAAAAAGTGACCACCCAGGGAAGGGCTGGGGCCAGACTAGCTTCAGACCCAGTACGTCCCTCACTCACACACCACTTCCACTTTCCACCTAGGACCAGCTTGCTTCCATTCACCAAGACTACAGGTGGCCTACTCCCCAGCACCTAGGACAAACACAGGTCACCACTAAGTGCTGGCCATGATGCCCACCAGCAGCTTCACAGCTCCCCTGGGCCCAGGTGGAGCTGGCAGTGGGAAGAGTGGTTCATTGTCCCTAGTGTCTCACAGAGGAAAGGTGACAGGTGGCCAAGGCAGGCCATGGTCCTAGCTGGGATAAGAACCACTGAGTGACTTTTAGCAGTGGCTACCCTTCTCTGAGCCCAAAAGACCTCCCCAGGGCCTTTCCATCTCTGGCATGCAGTGGAGGAGGGGGTCAGTTTCTGGAGTTTTACATAGTCACTGGGGTCAGCAGAATTTCAGAGACCAAACTAGAAGGTTGGGGAAGAGTCCTGCCCACAAGCACCAAAGTCTGCCTGAAAAGCTCCCCCCTGCCACTGTCCAACCTCTCCAAGTCTCAGTTTCTGAAATTCTAGTATGGAGTCAATGACCCCATCTGAACATCTCACCCCAACTGAGTTTCCAGGAGGTGGCAAAAACTGGGTGCCACACTGTAACTGTAAAGTTTGATTTCTAAAGAAGGATTAAGATGGCAGGGGTCAGTGGGAGGTTATACTGCCCCACTCCAATTTAGTTCTATCCAAAACGAACCTTCTAGGCACCAGAGCCCTCAATGGACAACAGCAGAAACAGCCCAACAGTGGGAACCTGGACACGTGGGTCCTGGGCTCAGCTCTCCTTCTACCTGGCTGTGTGACTTTGGGCAAGTCATTTTCCCTCTCTGGACCTGTTTCTCCCTCTAAAAAATGCCCGGCTTGGTACCCTCTGACCCAGGCATGCCTTGCTCTGCAGCTCTGAAGCTCTAAACTCCAGCCTTCAACCACAGATTCTGCCCTTAGGGAGCTCACATGGTCCAGGAGATCCAGGACATAGACCAGGGGTGAGACATAAAGGTCTCTCCTCCAGGAAATGGGGGTTGGAGGCAGGGATTAGACAGGCTCAGAGCAGAGTACAGGGTCCTCCCAGGTCAGACTTTCCCAATGGGGAAAAGGTCAGGTCCAACTCTGCGTAGCCCTGTGGACAGCACCAATTACCCCAGACTCTATGGGCCTGGTCTTCAAGCCCCCTCTGCAGCCGGCAGAGCAGGCAAGTCCTGACCCGTCCAGCCAGATACTTCAGGAACTAACTGAAGTCTAAATTGCCTCCAATTCAGAGGTCTCCAGTGTGTCCCACATAAGTGGCAGAAAGGGGTAAGAGTATACACAGGAGACAGGCCCACACCACAGGGGACTAGCAAACCAGGCATAGTTCATCACCCCACAGGATCCCCGGGGATGCAGGCCTTCACCCAGCCAAAAGCCCACCATCAAGGGCATTCCCCACCATCTCTGGGGGCCAGGAGGACCACCAAGTTGGGGATGGGGCTCTCCCACTGCAATCAGCTAAGCACACTTGCCCCAAGTGGGGGTGGGAGGAACCACACCGCCCAGAGGACCATTCCCGCCTACCAAGGGGCCCTGGCCACCCATGAAGGAGAAAGACCCACCCCACACACAGCTCCTAAAGGTTCCACATTGAGGGCAGGGTGGTGGGGAGAGAGCAGGATTACCGCCTCATGCCAGGGGTCTTAGCTGGAAACCTCGGGCCCACTCAGGGCCCCTAGTGCCAGACCTCTCCCCCAGATCTGAGGACATAGTTCCTTACAATGCCATTTTTATAGAGCCCCTTCCAGAAGTCATTCCCAGGGAGTCCCCAAACTCCTAGCCCCAACCCTCCACGTCCCCCCCGCGCAGCTATGAGGAAACCGGCAGTTAACTTTTCTGAAAAACCCTGTAAAGGCGGCTAGCTGGGGGGAGAAATGGGCCCGGGATCCTTTCTCGGCATCTCACTGACTTCCCCCACAAAATAAAGAAAGAAAGAAAGAAAGAAAAAGCTTAAAAAAGAAAAGAAAACTTTCGGAGTTAACTTTAAAATTCCCAGCCCTCCCCCCGAAATCGCCCGGCAGCTTCCCTAATTTTTTTTTCTTTAAAGTGCAATTGCATTGTGTCTCACCTCCCCGAAAGGCTCGCGGCTCTCGCCAAAGAAAAGGAAAAAAGCCAACCCTTCGGGTGCCCCCTCTGCTTCCAGCCGCCTCTCCCACATTCTCAGACAGTTTTATTAAAATTTTCAGACAAAAGAAAAACAAAAATGGCAGCCTGGCTTATTTTTAAAACAGGACAGGGACGCCATATTCTGCAGATCTGCAAAAAAAGGGAGAAATCCGGCACTGGCCGCTCCACCGGGCCGGCTGCAAAGTGCGCGAACCGCGCCGTTTGCAATCCGTTTATTTGCATTAAGCCCCATGAATCATTGTTTACCGGAGAATTGCAGCAGGTTTGAATAGCCCGGCTTAAGAAAACACACACACACACACACACACGCACGCACACATACACACACACACGCACACACACACACGCACACACTCGGAGACCAACCCCAGGCACGCCGCCGGAGACACTTCCTACCCCGAGCGCCGCCGCCGCCGCCGTCACCCCGGACCGGGCCCGAGGCGCAGGCGGCCCCGGGCCCTCGGAGCGCCCCGGCCCGCGCTGACAGCGCCCTCGCCCCGGCCCGGCCCCCACCCGCAACTCGGCGCAACTTTCCCGCTGGCGGCCGCCCGCCGCCGCCGGGCCCGCTCCCCGCGCACCCCGGGCCCGCACGGACCTGGCTGTGCTGGCGGTGCCTCCGGGACGCGGCCGCAGCCCCGCGCCCGGCGGCCCGAGCAGGGCCGGGCTGGGGCTCCGGCTCCGGCTCCGGGCTCGGGCTCCGGCTCGGTGCGGAGCCGCGCGCAAACCTTCCGGGTCGCCTGCTGTTCACTTCTGGGTTCTGCAAGCGCCGAGGCGGCGGCGGCGGGAGGCTGGGTCTGCAGCGCCGCGCGGCCCCCCGTGCGCTCGGCGAGCCCCCGCGCCAGGCGCCCGGCTCTGGGGGGGCCGCGTCGGGCCCCCGCCTCTCTGGCTGCGCAGCCCGTCCGGCCCGGGGCTCCGGCGAGTGGGCAGCGCCCGGCGCTGGCGACGGCGAGGGGAGGGGGCCGGGGCGGGGGCGGGCCGCGCGCTGGGGGCCCCGCTCGGGCCCCGGGGCCTCGTCTCGCGCTCGCCGCCGCCGCCTAGCAAAGTTGCGCGGCGCCCCCCACCCGCGCCGCGCCGGAGGCAGAGCCACAAAGGAACTCCTCGCCCCCCTCCGCCCGCCCGAGCCGCGCAGGGAGGGCACCGGCGCCCGGCCCTAGGACAGCCCCTTCCCCAGCACGGGGGCTCCCGGGGCCCCGGCGGCCGCGGCCATTGTCCCGCCCAAGCCCGGCTACCGCCTCGCCAACCCTCTCCCGAGTGATGGCGGGCAGGGGACCTGGACTTGGCGGGCCGCGGCCCTGACCCCGCTGAGCCCGCACGGTGCCAGGATGCCCCTGGGGTCTTCTTCGAAGAAGTGGACTCTCACACCTGATAATGAACAACCGTGCTCAAAATCCAGGCTTTTTTTTTTTTTTTTTTTTTTTAAGACAAGGACATGGGGTGGGGGCCAGAAGTTTGCACAGGGAAGGCCACCCCTTCCTGGTCCTAGGCCTGAATCCCAATGGACTGGGCGGCCTGAGCCTGGCAGCGGCACTCCTCACAGTCTATCAGAGGTGGCACCGCTGTCCCCCAGCTCCGGACCTCAGAGCCATCTGTGTGACTCCTCCTCCCGCTTCACCCTCCCCAGCCAATCAGTCACCAAGTCCTCCTGATTTGGCCTCCCAGGCTGTGTCAGCTTCCAAACTTCACTTCTACCTGAGGAGGCAGCCCGCTCAGGTCTCTTTAACCGAGTAGATTTCTATGCACACATGGTTACGCAGCCTCTAGGACGAATCCAGGTTGGCCCTGCCCTCAGGAAGCACCCAATCCCCCCGGGAGGGGCACACACATAAACAATCATATATCTTCCAGGAAGCCTTTCCCAGTCCAGTAAACATTTATTGAGGACCTACTAAGTGCCAGATGATGTGCTGGTTGACTGGGAGTACAGCTATGAATGAGTTGGACAGGTCTCTGTCCTCATGGAGCTTCTAGTCTAGCATAGGATGGCAAAAAATGGGGGTAAGGGGACAGGATCCATAGAGGCCCTTTATTCCCAAGCCCCAATCCCCAAGCACAGTGACTGGCACAGGGCAGAGGCACCATACTTACATGTGGCATGAATTAGTTGGCATCACAAGGCACAGTGTGAGAACACAGAGGAGGCCACTCTTCCCCGGAGAGCTGAAGGTGGTTTTCAGAAAGTCCTTCTGGAATGAACCTGGTGGGGAAGAAAGGAAAATTTTCCAGCTTCCAGAAATGAGAGTAAAATTGCCAGTCCATTGTTGAGACATTTCATGAGTTAATCCACCAATAAATGGGGCAGAGAGACAAATCACCTGTACAGAAGAATTCCAGATAATTTGTGTGGCTATTCCATACTGCTTAGCCATCGTCTACACATAGTGAGTGCCTTCCAAAGAGCACAGTGTGGAAAAGGAGGGAGGAAAGTACTTTGCAGTGGAAAAACCTGACAACTACCACCTCAGCCAAGTGACCAAAGCCAACATCAACAGTCATGGACCATGTTGATAGTATGTGAGCTTGATATTATGTGATAAAAATTATACTTTACCTCTTTGGTCTTCTTCCCAAGAACCATAACCCTAGACTTGCTGGGAGAAAAGTATCAGACATCAAGTGTGGAGTATCCAACAAAACACCTGTCTGGTTACTCCTCAAAACTCTCCAGATATCAAAAACAAGGAGAGTCTGAGAAACTGGAGCAGCCCCAAGGAACCGGAAGACGCATGACAGGTATATGTAATGGGGTGTGTTAAAAGAGAAACAGGAACGGGGGAAAATGGCATTAAGGGAAAACTCAGGAAGTCTAAATAAACTACGGGCTTTAGTTAACCATAATATATCAGTAAAAGTATCCATCAATAATTATAGCAAATTAAACAGTAACATAAAATGTTGCTAATAGGGAAAACTGGTGAGAATGGATTCCCAGGAATTCTCTAGAATGCTTTCTCAATTTTTCTGTAAATCTAAAAGTATGCTAAAAATTTACCTTAAAAAATAAAGTCTAAAAAAGAAAATAATTTGGTGGGGGTGCTGGGGATAGAACCCAGGGGCGCTTAACCATGGATCCACATCCCCAGCCTTTGTTTGTTTGTTTGTTTGTTTGTTTTTAGAGACAGGGTCTCTCTAAGTTGCTTTTGAGCTTCATGAAATTGCTGGGGCTGCCTTTGAACTTGTGATCCTCCTGCCTCAGCCTCCCAAGCCGCTGGAATTACAGGTGTGTGCCACCACACCTGGCAAGAAAATAATCTTTTAAAATGTACTAGCTGAGAGTGTCAATGAAATAATGCTCCTCATAGTACCTAAGATTCTGAGGGTCCTCAAAGCTATTATGTCATGATCATCAGCAGCAGCACTTAAAACCGCACGCGCAGAGGCAGAGGGGTGCAGGACGAAAGAGAGGCAGAGAGATAGAATCCTAAAGACCTTGGCTGCTGAGCTAGGCTTTGGAAGGGACGTGTGGGGGACAGATAACATGACCTGGCCTATCTCAGCCTCACCACCTCCTCTCTTACCACCTGGAAAGCCATGCTCCCATCATCCCAAGTGAGCTGCCTCTCAGACCTTGCCATCTCCCTTCTGTGTGACCTTTGCACATGCTGTTCCTTCTTCCTGGAACATCCTTCCTTGTTGTTTCCTCCCACCTTTCCTGGCTACCTTCAGCTCATCTTTCAGGTCTTAGTTTAGACATCCTCTTTAAAAGCCTTCTAGGACTTTCCGTGATGCTGTTAACCCGGTCTGAATGGAGACAGTGTGGTGTGAGGTGCAGGAAGTCACGGAGACTCGCAGCTCTTTGCCACTGGTATTCACACTCCTCTCCTCCCAACCAGCCGAGCTTCATGCTTCTTATCCCTGAACACACTGTGAACTTTCATGTGCCAGTCTCTTCTTGTGCCCATCCGTCTGCCTGGCAGCCTCAGTCCTTTTCTCCCATCTCTTCTCTCTGATGAACACCTACTCATCGAGGCTCTACTCAAATATCACCTCTTCTGTGAAGCCATTCTAGATCCTCTGTATGGAAAGAGATGTTTTCCCCTGGTTCCCCTGATCCCCGTGGTCTTCTGGCCACACTTCTGTCAAAGCACTTATCATGGTGCATCAGAATAAATATTTGCTGAATGGATCAACAAATGAGGGGACAGACAGCAAACCCAGCTCATTTTTTTCACTTCTGCAAACATTCCTCACGGTCCTCTTGGAAGCCCTCTGTGGTTGCTCTCCTTCTCATTGCTTTACTTTTACAGTCTGGCCTTTAACTGTTTTCCTTACTGTAGAGCATGTAGTATTTTTCTCTTGCATCAGAGTAAATTCTTTGAGGAAGGAACCATGTCTCATATTTTCTGGGTGTTTTTCCCACTTATTCCACAGTATTTACAAGCAAGTGAAGGCTCAGAGACAAGGAGGGCTTGCCACATTAAGGGGACAAGAAGGACAGTGGAGCTGCAATGGAATGAGGGGGACTGTGAAATGACACTCTGGGATGGATGCCCCAGGTGGGCTCTAGTCAGTGAGGGTATAGGATTTTAGTTTAAGAGAAGTAGGGAGTCATGGAGAGGTAGCAGTTAAATAAAGAAGTAACCCGTGGCCCAAGTTCATTCCAAAAGGCCTATGTGGCCATTGGGGTGGGGGTGGATTAGAAAGGGGCACAGCCAGGGAGCCAGCTGGGAGACTTTCAAAATCTTCCGTGGAAAAGATGGTGATGATTTAGACCTTGTTACTGGCAAGGACCCAGAGAAGTGGACAGATGATAAGTATGGGGCACTTTAAGGACTCAGTGCTCCCAGGACTTGGTGACTGATAGTTGTGGGGAGTGAGAAATCAGGAGGTGTCCAGAGGACTCCCGGGTTCTGCAGCTACCATTCTGCTCAGCATGAGCCTGGCTTCATTTCCTTATCCCCTGAGCATGTTTGCAGTGGGACCTTGATGCCAAGAGGGTCTCCTCCTCCCTACCCACCAGTCAAGCTAGCCACTGCTTCATCCCTCAAAGTGGGGTGTAGCCCTATCAAAGGTCAAAACAAACTCAACCACCAACACAGGCACCTTCTACTTGACCCCCACAGCAGTCCTGAGAAGGAGGCTGGGGAAACTGAGGCCCATAGGTAGGAAGTGGCTGGCTAAACCTCGGGGCCAGCCTCTAGCCGGGGTCCTCCAACTCCTGGTCAGAACTTCTTTTGAATACCTACTTCACAGGGTAGCTATTCAAAGAGAACGTGCGGGTCAGGCTGCAGCAATGTGGCCCTCTGTCCTCCAGAGGCCCGGAGCCACCTCATGGTGGATCCACATGCTCCTCATCTGGCAAATGTTCCCAGAGGACACCAGCCAGACAGCAGCCTGACAGGAGCTCCTTCCGCTCTTCATGCACACCTCCCAAGCTATGATGTGCAGGGAAATGGCATTTCAGTCCCCAACTGGCTGCTTTGCTTCTTAGATTGTTGACCTAATTCCTATTGGTGAAAGATCAATTCTCTCTGTCCTCTCCTTTCTATTTTTTGGGAGAATGGAACTGGAAAGGAAGAACTTCTACCCCTTTCTCTAGGGAGACGCTGAATACTTGGCTTCTGTTAAGCAGAGATATCCATGGAGCTTTGGATAAACCACAGTTGTCCATGAAGTGAGCAGGGGATGGAGGTCTACTTTGTTCTAATGATAGAATGTTGGGGATTGTGGCCTCCAGGTCTCTACACAGTCTGGCCCCTGCCAAACTCTTCATCCTCAACTAGGGTTGTTTTTCTCTTTGG